CGTTCGTTCCTTCGTTCGTTCCTTCGTTCGTTCCTTCGTTCGTATTACCCCGGCCCTAATCTCCTCCTCGTCCTCTTTCCCCGCTTTTTTACTGCGCGCATGATCGTCTCGCATGCCATGATAATAAAACGGTGTTATAAAGTCTATACGCGTAAATTGAGCGTAAAATGATCAGTATATGTATATATATATATGCATACATCTATGTGCGTGCGTCTGTATATGTATGTATATGCATGTATATGTATATGTATATGTATATGTATATGTATATTTAATAGGAGAAGCTTACACACAGGAACCTTTCTCTTGAAAAAAGCAAGTGAGAGAGAGAGAGAGGGGCGGGAGGGAGGGAGGGAGAAAAATCAATCGCGTCGTTCCTCCGTGAAACCGACGACAACATCGGCAACAATAAGAGGAAGGAAAAAGAAAAGACAAAAATAACAAAATAATAATTAATAATAATAATTATAATAATAATAATAGTAATAGTAATAATAATAAAAAACGAGACCAAGAGTCACGCATTCCGTGAATAGAAAATTGATTTACCGAAGCTTAAGATTTCCTTTTTTTCATCGCCGTCTAAGAGAAGAGCGCGCACTTATTAAAAGAAGGAATAAGAGAATTGTGGAAAAATAGAAATGAGAGAGGAAAACAAAAATAGAATAATCATCTTTATCTATGATGGCAACAGCAGCAACAGCAACAACAACGTAGCCTCTTCCAAGAATAAGTAAATAATTAAATAAATAAATTAAATAGTCGATGCAATAAACAATGCCCATTCAATTTGAATAATGGCTTTTTTTCTCGAGAGCAAACTTTATCGTCTAATAATAAAATATTATAAATAATAATCTTCGAAAGAAACTATAAGTATTATTATATCGAATTTTAATATCAGACTTTTCATTGTAACTGCCTTTTTACGCTTCTCCGAGACGACAAAAGGGAAAGAGGAAGGAGGCGTTCGTGCGTATTTGGGTCAAGGAGAAACGTTGAAAAAAAAGAATAAAAAAGGAAAGGAAGAAAGAACGAAGAAAAAAAGAAGAAAAACGAAAGAGAAAATTATCGCGGTATGCTGTAGAGGAGACCTCCCCTATTTAGCGTTACGTTTCACAGCAAAGAAGTAGCTGTTTAGCTAGTTTGTAATGTGGTTGTACATTTTCATACGCCCTTTGTGTAAACTATTATCGATTGCTGTGGTATATAAATAATAACAGAATAAACGACTCTCTGTACCCTACTTTGAAATCGTCCGCGAACGATTATCGCTGTCTATATATCCTTATCATCTTTTCTTCTCTTGAATTTTCATCGGCCGCTTCTATATATGTCATCGGCGCATACTCGTGAAATGGACAACCTCCCACCTTAACCACCCCCAGCTTTCTACCCCCTTTAGTTTTAATCGACTCGTCCGACGATAGACTCGATTGCGAATATTTCTTGCAAGATCTAAAATTATTATTTCTTCCTTGGTTTTGTCTCTCTGTGAAATTACTCGTGCATACAGTTCAAATCTTACACCGTTACGCTTGCCAGATTTTTCCTTTAAAACTATTGCTATAGTGTGTAGTATATCTTCGTATATAAGTTTAACTTGGAAGTACTATTTATAAGCAAATACGAAAATAATGCACAGACAACTCACCCGTCTTCTTTCGTCTTTAACAGTTGCTCGTCCTTTTTTTTCACTGTTATTTAAATGATTTTTATTAGATTATTTATATATATATATTTGCTTTTATAAAATCATATTCATATGAAAGGTCTTCTTCTTTTATAAATATATAAAGAGTTTTCGACCTGGTAACAGAATTTAAGTGGTAAAGTTAAGTTTTTTAGTAAATTTGTATGAACGAATACAGCACACGCACATATACAAAACTCACCTCCGTATTCAATGAAATCGATTTAATATATAAAGTACATTTCTTGTATTAATTATACTTGAAATAATTGTTAATTTAATCGAAAGAAATGAATATTGTAGTTTAAAAACACCGAGTATATATTCGGAGCACCGTCCTCGAAATTCACCGTTAGACTAGCTTTTTTGTTCTCTATGAAAGTTCATTTATCGAATGTTGTTTATATGACTTTCCATGAAAGGAAATTTTATTTATTAGGAATATTATTTCCGTTATACATACGCGAGACCTTCGGTAAGTAATATAAACAATATCGAATAAAAGAACTTGCGCAGACGACAACGTGCCATTCTAACGGTGGATTTCGAGGAGGACGGTGCTCCGAACATATACTCGGTGTTTTTAAACTACAATATACATTTCTTTTGATTAATTAACAATCATTTGTAGTATAATTAATACACTACTACTACTGGTATTGCACTCTAGTAATATTAACTCTAAATTAAATTCATTAAATATATAGTTAAGATATACCAATGTATTTATTTGTAGATTGTCTTGATTCTATAATAAATACACTACAGCACACAATAGTTTTTTTTAGGAAAAAATGTAGTAAGCGTAACGGTGTGTACGATTTCACATTATGGATGAATAAAGAAGACAAAAAAACGAACAAAAAGCAAGACTACGGCGTTGCGAGACGAATAGTATTGGCGATTGTAAATGTGACTCTTTGAAATGCCTCCTAAATTACATATCATTTTATCCTTTCTGAATAATTAGATACTCTTTTTAATTTAGGTCACATTCGTCATTATAAACTCGGTTTGGAAATGCATACAAATTCTAAGCGATGGCGATCAGTAATAGCTTTGTATTTAGATATAGTAATAGAAAATAGACAATTATATACACAGCGTAACCTCTTTTTACCGATTAATCCAAATATCAACGAGATTGTTAAAGATACCTACAAAATGTTAGCATTAAATTCGAAGTTATAAATCAGCATAATCTAAGTATTGAACGTTTATCGATATAGGTTTTTTTTATATCGCTAATAATCTTAACGATATTACGATACAGGGAATCTATTGAAACAAGACGCTCTGTATTTCGTGTGATGCAAAAACATTAATTAAGTTAGAAGGAAATTTGAAAAGAAACCACGCACCGTAAGTATGTATGTATGTATATGCGAAATGTTTCCAAGCGTCTAACAAAGGCTATCAAAAACGTCAATTTAAACTTAACGATGACAATGACCGATAAAGATAGAAAAAGAAAAATCGAGAAAGTCTTGTTTAGGTTTGTACACCCAAGATACGACGTTAAGTGGTACGTGCCGATTAATGTCGGAATATGCAGATGTGAATTGGATGCTCGTTGATTTATTAACTTAAATAAGCTATTGTCACTCGTTTCTTAGCGACATAATATTAAATGTGTAGAAATGGTGACAGTCGCATGATTTCTTGCATAATTATTTTTTTCTTCAGTCAATCTCACGCAAACATTTCGACGAAAATAATTAAATATTGAAGAAGTTTTCTCGAAAAACTTATTCCAGTTTAGATCAGATAGCGTTAATCATTAATACTTTATTATTATTCTATATTTTCTCTCTCCGAAACATACGTATATATACTCTCAGAGATCGTAAAAAATAGATAAGCTTTTGATATGACATACTTTCAATCGGAGGATTTGGCACAAAACGTTGACATATTAGTTTGCCGTAAATGAGGATCGAGTACATTACCCAATGATATCATTAGTAAGGTTATGTATGTTCCATATGTTGAGGGATTTGTTAGTGCCATAGTTTTCCTATGCAAAATATCTCGCGATAATTTATCCAAATTATCATTGAAATAATCGATAACGTTATTATTGATAATGAAAGTGAAAATGAAAATTTTTAAGTTTCATTTCTGAAATATTAAAAGATTTTTTTTTTTTGCGAATTAATTTCGAACAATTTTAATTAATCTTGAAAGTTAAGAAATAGGTATCGAAACTTGATTGATTTCACGCGCTTTTTTTTTCTTTTTCGATTTATCGTATTGATCAATCGATCTATTCTTCGATCTACCTAATCGGTTTGTGCTTCTGCTCTTTCTCTCTCTACACACACACACACATGTGCGCGCGCAATCGACGCAGAAGCCGTACGCAGCTTTTAACTTACGTCATGTGAACGTAAATCATAAGATCGATAACTTCGGTCGATTCTTTTATGTATCGAGTTAGCGTATACTTGATGGATCGTGATTGAAGATTAATCCTAACCCTTCCTACGGACGAGTACTGGCTTAAGTCTCAAGACTTTTACGCGTTTGTTGTGTTGTTTCGATTAATAATCTACTTCGGACTACGCGCGTTCTTACGCTCTGTATTACAACAAACACGGTTATACATGGGTCAAGTACCCTTCTTTTTCTGTAAAATTAACATTTTAAAGCTATAAATAAACGGACTAAAAATGTCTGCTCTTTGTTACACCTTATTGCTAATAAGTAGAAATGAAAAGAAATGAAACATTCATTCTAGTAAAGTATCAAGCATTAAATAAATAAATATTACTATAAATGCTATGAGAGAGTTGTTATTATTTAAAAGTAAAATAGTTTGTAATAAAGATACCATTTAAACATCTTTTTATTGTTGAGGACGTATTTTACAGAAGGAGAGTCAAGTCGATAGGACACATAGTTTTTAAAATTATTACAGTTTAATTAAAAAAGAAGAAATTATAGAAAAAATATACACGGGTGAGTTGTAAAATTTGGAACTTTGTGGTTTTCCACGCTGCGTTAGGCTCAAAACTTTTCAACCCTCATAAGGATTCTCTCCTTATTAGACTTTTCTAAAATAATCGATTAATTTAATGATAAGACTTACAAACGCAGTAGATAATGATTAAAATTTGAGATATTTTCTTTTTATTTATATTCGTGTATAATATCTAATAATATATTGAACAATTTTAGGGTATTCCTTTTTTCTTCGATAGGATTAATATAATTTACATTTTCAAACAAAAATTTCATTTGATTGTTTCTTTTTTTTTAAATGTTAAGTATTTGACAATATTGAACGATTCAATCTATTGAATCTACTTATCTAGCATAATAAATTTAGAATGTAGAACCATATGCCTTGTTTCTATAAATGAAAATTAGTAAATTCGAATAAGCTGGTTTTATTGACACAGATTGTAACAAATTATAATGTTTCATCAATATGTCATAACCAGTTATCGACAAGGCTAACTCTTCTGTTATTCGAAGAGTCGTGCTCTAAAAATTTGGCTCGTATTAATTCACTTTTTATTTACAAAATCCTCTCCCTTCTTAATGTTCTTCTGTAGCTCTGGAATAGCAGCTTCTAAAAGTTTCTTTTCGTAAGCATTAAGTTCACCAAATCCTAAAACTTTGTCCACTCCATTTTTCTATAACATTAAAGAAGGTAAGAAAATTTATTATGCTAACAAATATCTATTAAAAATGAAAATAAAAATAATGGAATTTTACTTACACCCAAGAGAACGGGAGAAGAAAAATATTTAGTGTTGCATATATCTGATCTAACATAAGAGCATTCGACTATACCCTGTTGTCCGGCCAAAGCTTTAAGCAAGGAAAAAGTAAATCGAGCTCCAGCATATGCCATTGATAAAGTAGCCGAGCCTGTACCAGCTTTAGCTTTTACAACTTCTGTACCAGCCTCCTGGATTCTTTCAGAGAGTTTTTTTGCTTCGCTTTCAGAAAAACAAACGGAGGGTTTTGTTTGCGAAAGCAGAGGAATAATCGTGATGCCGCTGTGACCTCCGATTACTGGAACTGTTACTTTTTGTGGATCTAACGACTAAGAAAATAAACAATTTGTCAATTTATTGCTATATTAAATTAGCTTTTGCCAGTTATATTCGTCTATATGATCTTTACCTTAGCTTCGCCAACGAACGCGCTCGACCTGACAATATCGAGCGTAGTTACGCCAAATACTCTCTTAGGGTCAAATACGCCTGCTTTCGCTAAAGCTTCGCAAGCGATAGGTACGGTACTGTTAACCGGATTAGAAATGATAGCAATTAATGCCTTTGGGCATACTTCTGCAACGGCTACAGCAAGATCACGAACAATAGAGGCGTTTGTATTAAATAGGTCATCCCTCGTCATTCCTGGTTTTCTAGGCACACCAGCAGGAATTACGACGACCTTAATATTTATGATTATTTATAACTTTTAAAAACTGTATAATGTGGCATTTAATATGAAATATGTATATGAAAAATGTATATGAAAAATGTTTCAACTAATTGATAGATTCATAATTTATCTACCTCAACACCTTTTAGCGAATCTTTTAATTGGTCTGGACCCGTGTAGCCAGTAACTTTTGAAGCAGTGTCAATATGAGAAAGGTCAGCGGCGACACCAGGCGTGTTGACTATATCGTATAAAGATAATTCGCTGATGAGAGGAGATTGTTTCAGCAACAGCGACAGCGGTTGCCCAATTCCACCGCTGGCTCCCATAACGGCGACCTTGACATCGCACTGTGAATATGTAAAAAATGATGAGTTTGCGAAAGGATCATTTAATCCTACGATGTTTTTTCACAGTACATACTAACTAGTTAATTTCATAGTTTTCAGTATTCACCGTTCGAAAAATTTAGAAAGATAATCTGACACACGTTCGTCCTTTTCTTTCTTTCTCATTTAATTCACGGGATTGGGATTATTTATTGGTTAAATCGCTGATCAAAATTTAAGGAATTACGTAACGACTTTTTCTCAGCATTTTTATAGACAAGTCTACGTAACATGCGAGATAACGTCAATCGAAAGAAAAATATCTTTTGTGAAGTTGGATTCTTAAATATATCTTGTTTTAATTGTAACGATAAAAGAGACTCGAGATTATTTATCTACAAAAAATAATTTACCTTGGCGCTGGTCGAAAAACTTTTGACACCTTGCTGAGCGACATTTAGAGTCGGTCTTAAGAAACGTGGCAACATTTTTGGTGAACGGACGATACTAGCGGTAGAAATGATTTGTAAGATGTCGAATATTCGATAACTCTCGTCAAAGACACTCTCGTAACCTCTGTGGTATATCCCCCACTATCGTCGACTCCATTTCCACCAATCGCTTGGCAACGTGCAACGATTCTCACACTCTACCGCATTATAAATCGAACGAACATGCGCTTTAGATTCGAATGGTGGACGTTTAGCGCGAAAATACGAACTCAAATTATTACTTTTTCAAAGGTAACGCTCTACTCGAATAGATATTTTCGATATTTTTGAGTCAACATTTCGATATGAATTAGTAACATCGTTATACTAATGAAGTAACACGATTTATTTTCATTTGCTTAAAGAGAATTAATAAATCAATCAATTCTTTTACTTGTGGAACTTTCCAATGATACGTGCCATTCATTGTTACTCGAAGCATATTATTATTAGACGAACCTTCGTCGCGTGACACAGTATTACTCGTATACTTGTATTACCTCGATATAATATTTTCTTTTTATTTCATTCAACTTACGCGATTAGTTTAAACAATTAGTTGGAATTTATTTTCGTGCGAGATGCTACTTTCAATAAATTTCCTAATTCAATTATGTAGCGCATTATATGATAAAATTTGTAAACAGTAACGAACTATGGGTATGTCGAGTTAACTGTGCATATATTTTATTATATGCAGTTAGTAGTTTAAATTCCCTGCAATATCGGCGCCACGATCTGTTTCCTTTGAAGATAGTCGATAACATCACCTGCGATTGAGTTGATATTAAAAAAATATGAAAGTTGAAAAGAATTTATTTTTAAAGAGACACACTGCTATTCGATTCTATACTTACATCGAGAAATTATATTTAATCAAACGGAAGGTAAAAATAATTGATTCGAGTATAAATTAGAGGAGAGCTATCATATATCGTAGAAGTGGAATGATTTGACGTAATTCGAAAAGCGAAGGAGTCAAATGCATAATAGGTATATTCGGTAAAAAGAAATATTTGACGATTTATATAGAGAATATTCGATCGAATCACGATCGGACATTGATTTGTATATTTTACTATTGCGATGAATCATCGGATCGCGAGGAAGGTAAAAAGTGGAAATATCGTATATGTATGAGAGGGTGTTTTTTGTTGATTTATTATAGATAGGAGAGAACAGAAGGGAGGTAGGAATGAATATGTAGTTCGGATCTCGGAGTGCACCTGCATCGTGCTCGTCCGGTGGCGCCATTTGGTAGGAAACACGCGAACCGCTCGGAGGAGGCCCGAAGGGGGCTCCGCGCTTTCGTCGTGCGGTCAGAGACACGAGAGAGCGATAGACATAGACGACGACGACGACGGCTCGTCGTTCGAACAACGCGCTACGTGCAACAAAGATGGAGAGAGATCATCGAGTTCGTCGATGGTGGGGATATTTCGCGAACAGTTGCTGCTTCCTCGATGGTTAAGAGAGGGGGACCGAACGAGTCGAGCGCGGGAAGGGTCGGAGGGTGGGAGGGAGAGGGAGGGAGAGAGAGAGAGAGAGAGAGAGAGAGATCGTCGAGCGTGTACAGCATGAACGTCTAGTAGTGGCATGTTTCAAACACTCGACATGCTCGTAGCTGGTGCGAGCTGTTAAAACGTTTGTACATATCGCTATATCGTCGCTAAATAAGTCACGTCGTTATTCGGCAACAAATCTTATGAATTTACGTATGTGTAAGTAATTAATTACGTAAGAACGACGATCGACCGTTGTTCATAACGTTGTAACGTCAGCGTCAAGAGTATAGCAGTACGTGGAAGTTTGAGATAATAGTAAGTGGTGTTTCGAGCTAAGCAGCAGTAGTAGTAGTAGTAGTGCAGTAGTAGTAGTAGTTGAACGATCAAGAGAGCGGATTCACGTTTTTTCGTGAAGCCAAGAGAAAAGGTGCCTTCCAGATCGACGTCGGTAGAACTGGTGGTATCTTTGGAATTCGACGGTCGTGCAGTGTGTGTATACATGAGGGACAAGAAGAAAGGGTAAAAGAGTGGGAGAAGGTGGAAAAGAAAGAGAGAAAAAGGGTAGGGGAAACGGAAAGAAATAGAGAACTGCAGTAGGAGGGGGACGGAGAAGGGGTGAAGGGAAGAAGAGCGAGTACGGTGAAATGTGCTTCGCGGCGGCCCCTTGGAAGCTGGTGATAGCGACGCGCATCGCTTAAAGCAGGTCGCGAATTCTCGATGCCGCTGGCGGCTACACTGCTGTGAAACTCGCCTCGCATAAAAGTCACCATCGAGGAGAGGACATTCTGCCGAGAGAGAGAGAGAGGGAGAAAGAGAAAGAGAGGAGAGAGAGAGATTTTTCTTTCTCTCTAAATAAGTTTGTTATTATTTGTTTTATCTTCTCTCTCTCTCTCTGATTCTTTTACGTGCATACGTTTGAGAATAATACGCGTATGCTCTTACGAGCGTCGCGTTGACGAAACGCAAGAGGATCGATATTTTTCGTCGCGTTGAAAAGTGTGTTTAAGCAGGTTCTCCCGGAGCGAGAACGCGATGACGTGCTTGGATCGTATTCGTAGTTGACCTCGTTGTTTCGACGCGATCATGACTCTTTTCGTGCGTAAAAGTTGAAAGGAAGAAAAAGAAAAGAAGCAAATAAATTCTCGCGGACGAAAGAGGAAAATGATGTATTGCCGTCGGGTCGTTGTTTCTTTTGTCGTCGTCGTCGACGTCGGCGACGACGTCGAGCTTTCGCCGTGGACTCGCGCGTGAGTGTTCGTCGCTTTCACGAAGGAATATAAAAAGAAGAAGAAAAAGTTGTAAGAAGGTAACGCATGATCGCAGTGATTAATAATTTGTGGATTACTTTACGATCGATGCGTCGAGCGGAGGCGCGCGCGCGCGCGCTCCGGTAAATAACAGAGATCGTTGAGAAAAAGAAGAGGAAGAACGGTACCGACGACTCGGTGATGAAACAGCAGACCAAGTCGCCGCCGCCGTCGTCGTCGTCGTTGTCGTCGTCGCTGCCGTCGTTGCCGTCGCCTCGTCAAAGTTTTTTTTAAAAAGAAAAGGAAACGCTCGGCCGGCACACAGCCGGCCGGCTACGAACGCTGGAATTCCGCTCGAGAGGAATCCGAAGGCGGAGACTTTGACGTCACTTGGCTCATGATAATGAAGTATTCATGATGGCGGAGTAGCAAGGAATATATACATAGTGCACGTGCGCGTGCGATCCTCTCGTGGTCGTGGTCGTGGTCGTCGCCGTCGCGGTTGCGTCAGGGTTGCGTCGAACTTCTAGTCGAACACCACCGTCGCCCTGCCGCCCCACTCCTACTCGGCGGGGCCCCCACCCCTCGGTCACTTACCACCCTCCGTATATGTGTGCGCGCGCCTCTTTCGAGCGTGTGCTCGCGCGCGCACGGAGATATGCGCCCGTCGACCGCCGCCGCTCGGTGATAGAGAGTTTTGGATGGATTTAGAGCGCAGTGAAATATGCCAAGGAGACGGAATGGGGAGATACCGCTACCGGAAGGGTGGGACGTCGCGCAGGATTTCGACGGGAAGGTTTACTTCATCGATCACAACACAAGGAAGACTACGTGGATCGATCCTAGGGACAGGTACGTGTGTCACTTCTCTTATTTCGATCTATCTTTTTGCTTTTTCTTTTTGGTCGCGACCGCGAGCGAATCGTCGTAGTAAAATAAGACAGAGAGGTCGAAGCGAAGGCGCCCATGCGTGCTGGCGCGTATTCGCGCGCACAGCTATCCGTACCACACCGGCGCGAGTCGCCGCGCCCGCATTCCAAGCGCCAGGGCCGCCTTACAGCTACGAGCGCCAAGTACTAGACGCCCAAAATCTATATCTCTTTGTTTTTTTTGCGAAAAAGATGCTGCTCCGAGAGCGGTCGGTCGATCGGTCGGTCGCGCATGGCCTCTGACATTGGCGGCGCATAGTGAGTGCGCGTGCACGCGTACATGCGGGCCTGCGCCAGGATGCGCCGTCACCCGCTTGCGTGCGTACTTGTGTATGTACGTGCGTGCGTGCGTGCGTGCGGGAATCTCGCGTTGGTGTTTACGAACCTGCTTGGAATTTCTCGCGGCTGCGCCGGTAAGCAGAGAGCGCCGAGAGTAGCGAACCTAGCGCCGACCCTCTACCACCACTACTCTACTACTACTGCATCATGTTACATTCGCTTATAGATATCGTGAAATATCTCGCGCTTTCGGAATTCTTTCGGAATGCAGAAAAGATGACGGGGGTCACAGCGCGTTCGCCTCGAGATCCGACGACGGAAGATTCGCGCGGACGATTTCGAAATTTTATCGGTATTATTAAAACGTATATTTCTCAGATAAAATTTTTTTTTTTTTCTTAATGACCTTCGGATGAGACCTTATTCGCGGAGGTTCTCATCATCTTAAACTTTCCTATTCGAATCGTCCCTTTAGCGTCTAGGCTAACGCCAAACTAGTTACGATACTTGTCATTTAATCCTTACAATGTAGTATAGAAATGACGAGAAAAGAGAAATATTTCTTTAAGAACGGGTTTTTCAAGATATAACAGCGCCATCCTGCGTTATTAATAAGCATTTTATTTAATCGTTCGATGTGCGGCCATCAGTTCTTTGTTCGATTTGCAAATCTATTTGCGTTATTGAATATTTCTGAATATAATTTAAAAATAAATACCGCGGGAGAAATACAAAGAGAGAGAGAGATAGAGAGAGAGAGAGAGAGAGAGAGAGAGAGAGGGAGAGAGAGGGGGGGAGAGAGAGAGAGAGAGAGAGAGAGAGAAAGAGAGAAAGAGAATGTCGTTCACCGACCACATCGCTTTTAGAAAGTAACGTTCGAATGCGCCTCCTATGTTTGCTTTTTAAAGTTTACGTCGTATCTATCTCTTACTGATATTATTATTCGAGTCTCTCCGAAGATGTATAGCTTTTATATAGTTGTCATTAGATTTTTCTAACGTTGTCCTGTTAAATTTCACGCATTTGCACGAACGTATTTCTTCGTTTCGAAACGAAGGTTAAATTTTTTACGTTCGTTAGCCGTCTCGACCCGATGCGAGATGTAAAATATTCCAGGAAACGCACATATAATTTATAGCTACTAATTTATTTATTATCGATTTTCGATCGAATATATTTATCAGATTTTTATACTTGGACGATGCGTAAATTATTTCGTGGCGATTTTTCAACGTTCCACGAAAATTTCTTTCGCCGACAGGTTACCAACCTATAAAGCATAATATCGTATATATTTATAGCGTAAGAACGCAATCTTACGTCATCGATGGACGTTTAATTTAATCGCGTCTATCATAAGAGTTATTGGAATTTGGAATTAAAATACTTATTATTCGCAGTCGAATATTTAAAAGCAAGATTGGAAAGATCAAAAGGTGGAATGTTAATATAGTATTTTAGCGTTTTGTAAGAGAAATTAGTATTTGAAGTTGTGATCGTGGCTTCGGTATTTAAATTGGTTGGTAGCCGCGCCAAGATAGTCCGGAAGAAGCGCCGATTAACCACCCGCCGCTTTCACTTTCGATCTTCTCGCGCGCTTCTTCGAGACCGCGTTGTCCCTTTAGTATGAAGGATTTATTGTTTTGGCCCTTTATACAAACTCATTTCGTAGATAAGTTCTTGGCCAGAAACACATACTTTACACATACTTTACGTATACTTTACACACACTTTATTTCTAATATAAAAAATGGATCGCGGTGGAAGCAAGGAAGGAGAGGTAATGCTGTGCGTTCGGTGGGATTGGAAAGGCATCCTCGTACGTTACGAGCTGCTGCCACCTGGCCCAACGATTGATTCTGATCTCTGCTGTTGCAGCAATTAAAAAATACCGGCCAGAATCGACGACCACAGGCATCTTTGATGACCCGGCAAAATTCGAGAGACCTTCGTCTATAGAGTACTGACCTTGCACCATCGGAATACTATTCGTTTCTTGGTATCTTGGTATATTTCGTTTAATGGTCCAAATATTCTACGATATTCCTGCAATAAGGCGGCAATTGAGATTTTAACCGAAAAATGGGGAAAAAAGTTGTTACAGCATAGCGGAAACGAAGATAAGTTTTCTCCGAAGAGCTCGGTGCCGAACCGTCGTATAGTGAAATTTTGTAATCCAACCAGCAGATGGTGCTCGTCGGTAGAGGAACGAGATCGGCGTATATAACGCATGCCTTCCTCCTTCCTCGAAGCCACGTTTCATCGCGGAGGTGTTTTTCGTTCGAACACACGGCAGCCATACAGCCGCAGTCGATACTTGCCTGACTACGTCGTCCTCGTAGCCCCGTGGGCGGTAGAGTAAATGCTGTGCATCTCTCACAGCCAGTTCCTGCTTTCTTCTTTCTCCCTTTTTCCCTTTCTCCCTTTCTCTCGTTCACTTTGCAGGTCTATACATATGCTGCGTATCTACATAAATACGTATTTACGTATTTATACATATGTATGTATGTATGTTATGTATGTATTTTTGCTGTTCCTGCCGCTGTATATATGTACGCGCCTGGTGTGTACGACCCCGGCCGGTACCTAAAAATAGACCCAACCTGCTTTTAGTGCATTCTTCGTTGCGGCAGGGCTATTACGCTCTTCTCTTAGCTTCGGGAAAAGGGGAAGGGCTGCTGGCTTTTCATGCATTTATCCGGATTACTCTTTTTTCCTCTATCTCGATAATGCCATAATTGCTCTGATCTATGAATCACTTTACTTCGCATTTTTGTCCTTTTTAATGGCACGAGGACATCCTTTCTGTCGGAATTTTCTTCAAGATTTGACAAATAATCGAGCAAATTAGCGACGATATTCGCAACGAGGTTGCAAAGCTAAATTGTATATAAATAGAAACGTATACATGTCTGAAAAAGTGATATCGTCGTCGTTGCGAATTATTTCCATGCAAGGTGCAACAATTCTACTCGATAATTCAAAAGAGTCGAAGCAAACGACGGACGAACGTCCTTGCTCGAAATCTTTCAGAGATAAGTTCTACGAAGACGAACGAAGAAAAGGAATATTGTTTTTTTTTTTTTCGAAGAATGCGCGTCAGGACAGTGGTGCACGCGCAGAAAGGAGAAGCACTTTTCCCGGTACGATCTCACGTTCGTAACGTGCATCGTGCGCCAGCGGCATCTGCTTGCCATCTGTGTTTAGAAAAATCTCTTCGCGGAATCTCAATGCCTTCTTTTATCATCTTCTCTTTCTACCCGTTAAAGCTTTCTAAAAATGCATTCTGTGTTTATAGTTTACGCATGACGATTGTACCTCTTTCTTTTTCCTTATCATGGCCCATGCGTGATGGCAAAACAAAAAGATAACGCAGGTGTCTCTTTTAGCGATAAACTACGGATAAAGGTCTTTCTTGCTACGCGAGCGTTGCTATCAAATTCGCCTCATTTTTTTCTTTACAGACGTCTAATTATGAAACACTCTTTGGGAAAGCGCAACGGACCTAAATTTGGACCTAAATTTACATTTATCTATTTAGAAGAAAATCAATGTCTTACGAGCTGGACATTTTATTGTTCAAATCACGCTCTCATTGTCGGTAGCAAAGTATTTTCTAGTTTTTTATTAACTACAGATTATTATTGCTAAAGCAATTGTTGTATTATCGAGTAATCTATTTATGAATTGATCAATTATCTTTAGTTCGTAATTACTCGGAACGAGTATATATTTTGTTTTTATTTCTTAGTATAAGAATCTCGGTATCCGAGCTTTCACCGCTGTCGTAATAAATATCATCATCGATATTGCTCGAAAAATCTTTCATTTAGTCTGCTATACTTAATTGTTTTCTTACAGGTATCATAATCTTATTTTTACTGTGCGCATCGTTGAGTGTCATAATCGACGTCACTCGGTATTTCTAATAAGTCGATTATTAATTTGTTTTGTAATTAAACTTGTTCATTCTTTGCTGACTTCGGTGATGCGTTAGAAAATTGTTAAAAAATATACGATAGTAGTTTTGAAAGGAAACGACGAGATTAATTTAGGTGAACTGTAAACATCGTCGTTTCGAGATAATAAAAGAACGCCTGCATCCAAACCCGCATTCCTTTATCGTGCGTTACTACGGAATGGACTCTCCGCGACGCCTTGAGTTTTCTTTGATAGGACGAGTATCAAGGTGGCGGTGTGCTATTGGGTAGATGGATATCAGGAGGGATAGCGCAAAGACGAAGGGGCCAAGAGTCTTCCCAAAGTTGGAAATTCGATACATTCCAGCGTCATGACGCTCGAAAGCATGTGCCACGCCGATCATCCAAGTACCGATCCGAGTACCCACGAATGGAAGCGAACAGACCCGAGAACAACAACTCCTATGTACTTATTTGTTTCCAACGAATATTCAATAAACAAGCTACAAGTTTTTCAATTAACGCGATTTCTCAAACCATTGTTACAACTTTTTTGAAGTTATATTATCTCGAGTGACGTAACTGCAAGGAGCAGCAGCAGCACGGTATATCGTTTGAAACTAACTCCGAAGGAAAGACTTACGAGGCGAATACTTGCGCTCGTCCCATCGCTTTAGCCGCATTCCTACGGAACGGAGTTTCCTATAAACTCGCGTTACACGTACCACTTCGCCTTTTGCGAGCCAATCGGCTAGCGCGCGAATACCAGTGGAATCGTGAGAACCGTGTACGCGAGCGAATTCCACTTGGTCTACAGGTACATATGGGTATAGGTATAGGTAAGCTATTGAAATTGGAGGAACGCTTTTAGCGCGTTTAACCTCCGAAACGTAACAATAATCAGCGACATTACATCGTTTGTTAATCGAGCACTAGAGACAGCCGCGCACCAAAAAACGACCATTTCTTCTTTCTTCATTCATTGTCGTAATAATCGGTGCTAATAATATGCTATACGAAGCCGTCGTTCCAACGAAATACTATTTCGAGGGGGAAGCCCTCCACAAGATTATGTAATAACTTTCTTCGGCCAGTAGAAAATCGATGAAGGAACGCGCGTACGTTGATTTTTCTACACGCTATTGCATTCCTCTTACAACTTTCTTCCGAGAAATATCAATTATATAGAATAAAGCATAATCGCTTTATTTCCAAGTCCAATGAAAGTATCTAATTGTGAGTATTTTCTATAGACAGGTTTTTTTTTCAAATGCCACGTGAAAACGAACTAAAGTTAGTTGGAATTATTTCTAAATGACGACGAACTTTGTAACGGAAAACTATTCTACGTAATTGGGACTGATAGTTTTGTAACTGGTAAGAATGTTAGAAATACATTTATTGTATATACACGTATATACAAAGTGGTCGTACCTTTTGCGAAAGGTAATAATTTGAATCTCTCGTTAACGCGAGATTCGGTTCGCCATTTGGTTCACCATTTGGTTCGCCATTTGATTCGCTATTATCGCATCCTAATTATTTATAATTAAGTTTACTTGGATTTTATATTTTTCACATTGTCCAAGGCGCGACGCTCGATCATTGAGAATTTCCTTACTATGATATTTTCTAACGACAGAGATCAAAAGAAATAAAATGAAAAATTAGTTCACTATAAAGAGATAATTTATTCATGAAAGTAAATATGCCGTATCTCTGCTTCTCTTGATTAAACTCGAAAATCAATATTTCACCGATCGTTATCGCAACGATCGAAACGAATTCATTCTTTAGATATGATCGCAAAATAGTTAGATAAACCTATAACCATTGTAAATAAGAAAATGATTCATATATTTAAAGACAAGTAGCTCGATGTAATAAACGTTCGATCAGTTTTAGTGGAACAGCAGAGGTGTGTCAAGTTTGGAATGTGAAGTCGAGACCAAATGAAATCATACATATTGTAAATAATGGAATAAAAACCGGCATCTTTCGTATGAGTCAGTCTCCTCTATCCGCGATACGTTTTTCGCGTTCCTTTCGCATAAATTCGATATTTTTGCATGGAATTGCATCCACGTGCAGCAATAATTACGCAGCATTCGACTTTTGAGGAAGAAAAATTCGGCGATGAATCGTCGATATTAAAACTTGTTTATCAATCGAATTTATTTAGTCCTCCCAAATAGATGATAATAAAAAAATTGGCCCTTTTCGAGGGGCTTGGCGTGCTAAAGATAAAAAGAATGTGTCTTTGATAAATTCGTGTTGTGTATTTGTCGCAAGTATTGTATACGTATAGACGTTCGTTAGACTTTACATCGTAATCATTGGGAAAATATTCGAGCGTATAAACGTATGTATATACGTAGAGATAAGAGGAACATAAAGCGTATAATTTTGGAATTACATGTTTTTTTTTCTTATTGCGTTTCCAAGAGGAAGAGGGAATGATGAAATCCGCGTGGAATTCGCATGGAATTCGCATGGAATTTCAGCTCGAAGGAAATCAAGCAGAACGTTTGTTTATTTTCTTCCATCGTCAAATTCCAACGTGGCGAGTCAATAGGGAAATATTTTCCGTATAGTCCTAGGATGAACCGTTTTACTCCATTAAGCGAAAGAACATTGGAAAATAACTCTTTTGCAATTAATTCTTATTTATTCATTCGGGGTTAGCTAGAAAGATATTCTAGAAGGAAGCTTTACACGTACGTTGATTTCCATTGCTCGTGTTTAAATCTTCATTTATTCCTCCGTACACTCGTAATACAATTTGCGAATTATAAAGAAGCTTACAATTGCACATGTATATGATCTCTTTGTTCGATAGACTTGCGAGTGATTCATATTATAATCATCTTTCAGAAAAACAGAATAAACCGAGAATAAAAGAATAATTACTTCTCGTCGTATAGCGAAGAACATTAATAATGCTGAAAGGTGCTAACTAAAACTACGCGCGTAAATTTCGTGCGTTCGTTTAATCGAATGAATAATTCGTTAACACGAGTAGTCTTGGCGGCCTTGACGTATCGGCCGAATGGCCAACATCCAAGTCCAAAATCGTACATTTACGCACCTAGTGTGGTAGAGGACAAGAAAGTGCATAGGGTATGGAATTAAAGATTTTTCTTATATCTATATAATAAAATGACTCAATGTGAAAGTCATCGTTAATGCAATTCGACTTGTCAAATATTTGTCCTTCGATATGATCTGACAATTCGTTTTATGACGAATAGAAAAAATAAAAGGGATATAGGTAGATACATTTACTCGACCAATTGGATCGGTTATATTTTTCTTTCCTTACGTTTTATCGAAAATTGAAATCACGCTTCCGTACGCGGACGTGTATATACGACGGTCGCTTGTAGTAAGTAGTCTTTACATAATTAAAAACGATCTAATTCATTGTTTTTCGTCCATGTCTCTCTATCAATTACACACCGGCAAATGGAAGCGGGTAATTTAAACGACAATGCAATCTACTGACGTAATTGTTAAAACGTTATTCTTCGCGAAGGCCTTTTAACGTTTGCAACGTTAAGATTTTCGAATAATAGAATAGATACTAATATGATTAGCGGTAACGTGTAAATAAACGAACCAATTGCAAAAATAATCTTCCTTTCTTTCATTAGTTGGAAATAAAAAGGGAACGACGTTTGGAATTCGTTAGGAATTTGGGCTCGGGTACGGCGTGAAAAATTGTAAGAACCTTTGAGAAGTCGTTAGGTAGGTAAAAGGCAAAGCGGGCTAAGAACCCTAAGGCCATATCCTCTCTCTCTCTCTCTCCCTCTCTCTCTCTCTCTCCCTCTCTCTCTCTCTCTCCCTCTCTCTCTCTCTCTCGCGCACGCTTCCGGAAACCGAAGAGGAGCCCATCCGGCGGCGGCGCATCCAACGCACGACGCGTTCCGAAACACATCCCCGACATCTCTTTTTATTTAAACTCAGGATAATGACCTTGAAAATGCATCTCAAGGCCAAGGTCATTAGAGCTAATATCGAGCAAACCAAAGTTTCCCTCTTTTTTCTCTTTCCCCTTTGGATCGATTTACGATTACAACGCACGAGATAAATAAGCTGATCGTGTCTCATTGTCAGTTAAATTATGTCTCTCTCTCTCTCTCTCTCTCTCNTAGGTAAAAGGCAAAGCGGGCTAAGAACCCTAAGGCCATATCCTCTCTCTCTCTCTCTCCCTCTCTCTCTCTCTCTCCCTCTCTCTCTCTCTCTCTCTCTCTCTCTCTCTCTCTCTCTCTCTCTCTCCTTCCGTCTCCTTTTCGTTCGAGAACACGCTCCGGAGAGAATAAAATTAGGATGAAACACGTGAGACGGCGAGTAGACGCGAAGAGGAATTCCGTCTCTTCTTTTCATTCTTTTTCCTTTTTTTCTTTTTCCTCCGTAACTTGGAAGGTCGGACAAGGTCGGATATGATTATCTTCGTATATGTACCGAAGAAAGGAAACGCGCTTGATATGTTATGCAGCCTATTGCGCATAGAAGAATAAGAAGAAATATTATTGAAGTATTGCTTTTATGTTGTTTTTCTTCTAGATTTACAAAGCCGCAAACGTTCGCCGATTGCATCGGAAACGAGCTTCCCCTTGGTTGGGAAGAGGCCTACGACAAACACGTGGGTGCTTATTACATCAATCATGTTAATCGTAAGTGTAAACTCAATTTACGAATATCCGTCTTTTTGTTGTTGTTGTCGAATTCGTTTAACATTGTCTTATTTTTTGGTCGACCAAAGAAACGACTCAGCTCGAGGATCCGCGGCAGGAATGGCGGGCAATTCAAGAAGCCATGCTACGAGAATACCTTCAAACAGCGCAGGACGTACTCGAGGTGAGCTAAAAACAAAAGTCTATTTTCGTGAAAATAGTAGAAAAACGTTTACGGATTTGCTCGTTGCTTCCAATGATGCCGATGCCAATGCCGATGCCAATGCCGCCGATGAATCTTCCGTGGCATGAATTTATACGAGGAAAGAGGGGAGACGATGGGAGCCGCGTAGACAGGAAGTCATTCCGTGAGAAATCATGCTCCTTCCGGTCACTCGGCGGTGCACCCTCGCATACTCTCGTACAACAACACCGGTTGGCTACTCGATTATCCCTAATCGAGATTAAATCGTTTTTGCTTATCCTCGTCACCCAATGTGTTAATAATGTCTAATGCAACTTATAGACAATCTTTCGCGATCCGTTGTTCATAAAGATTCGTCTTTTGGTAGGGACGATTAATCGTAGAGAGGGAATTTAGCCGGAGACCCCGAGGAATTCGGTGTTTTAGTCGAAAAAACGGGTCGCACGAGGACGCGACCGTTCGAGCCGAGAATTTGGGAAAAGTAGCGTCGGTAGGGACAAAGTCCTCGAACCTACAAAAGAAAGAGAGAGGCCGAGAAGAATTCTTCGGATTTCGTGCCATGCGGGGCTAGATAGAATGTCTGTTTAGCTTGGATCCGACAAAAGTATTTCGGAAGACCTGTCCGTCCGTTCCTTGCTTCCTTCTCTCTTTCAACGACGACAACGATGACGACGACGGAGGCCCTCCAGATGCGAGAGGAATCTTAATTGTCATTTATTTTTGTCCGCCTCTATTTGAAATATTTTCCCTTCCAAAGATAATATACAAAAAGTCTATTTTAGATTCGCTTTTCCAATCTCGATACGGCGGAAATGTTATTTTTATAAAATATATTCGTGTACACGTAACTCGTTAGATTGAAAACCGATTATCGAACAAGAAAGGAGTCTGCGAGTTTTCAAGGAGAACGAGACGACTACCCGAATCATTTTTTACCCTTTTTTCAAGCTTCTTTTTTGTCAATAACGTTGTCGACGTCTTGTATCTTAAATTTGCGAACAAACCCATCGGGGCGGGGTCCAACCATGTTAACGAATGCGAGCGAATTTTGTAGATATTGCGTAACTGACCAGTTACAACAAAATTTTCCTTCTCGAAGCAAGGTCCAAAACTACGTTTGTCTAGAAATAGGAACTGCTGCTGGTGGCGGTAATTTAAATCTCCTCGGCAGGTGTAACGTCTAGTCGGCGATCGTAGCGTAAGACGAAAGCCAGCGTGGTGCATTAGATACCAAAATGTATCTTTGACATTACCCAAGCTGAAAATAGCGCTTACGGCTTACGGCTTACGGTTTACGGTACGTCGCGCGTCTCTCGTCGGGAAGGCGAGCTCCCGAGCGAGAGCGTATCATAACGGTCCGAGACTCACGAGTCGAAGTCATTGACATCGTCATCGACCAGCATCAGACAAATTTTCCTTATCGAATCCTTTCTTTGTGGGTGGGACGTCGTCTATACCACATTCGAAAGAAAAGACCAAAATCCTAGAAGGAAGATATCATCGACTTTGGAACGGTGCGAACGCGCACCTCTTACCCACGCGTTTCTTTCTCCGAATGCATCGAAGAAGAAAGGATGCGGGTTTTCCGTCCTCCTTAACCCCTCTCTCCGGGTCGGATTCCCTCGCTCTCGGTTGCACTGTTCGTTCTCGCGCCATGCGACCCTTTTCCCGTAGCGACTACCGGTGTTACGCTCGTAGGGCCCCCAGGCGGTCCAAGAAACGACTCACGAACGAACGGCCACGAGTATTCCCGAGGGCACTCGAATGCAAACGTCTCTCGGCTAACCTCCGCCGTTGCCGCTGACTTTCACGCGATTCGCGAACTCGCCCCGAGGAATCCAAATTCGAAACACCTTTTTTCCCCAATATTCTGCCTCTCGACCTTTCACCGATTATTATTCATCTTAAGTGATGGGCTATTTGCGTATCTCGCGACCAACGCAGAGGGTGAAGAACAACGTCGGGTGGTTATCGACGGTGGCGCTGTTGCACATTCCTTAGCTTCTCTCTCTCTCTCTCTTTCAGGAGCAAACAATGTTAACGACTATGGGGGGGTTCGAGATTCCATCTCTACTCGGCAATACATAAATAGGTCGTCTCGCGGACGATTATAATTTTCTTCTTTTCGCTTTCCTTCTTTAACAATTTTTCATGTAATAATGACTTTGTTGACCCCGTGGATCGGCGGAATGAACATTTAAAATTTGAAAATGCATCGGATTTTGTAGGATGTCCTCTGTTTGTATCTTCCATCGTGGCTTATCTCGCCGCAACGGGTGCGATTGTCAAAGCGTTATCGTAGGACAACGCCCATCATCCATAAAACGCGACACGCTCCGGAATTCGAGCCTCTGATTTTACTGCCTCTTTATTCGGCACACATAAAGAGTGAACATTTGATTTGATTTGGTGCTTTCTTCGCGCTTAACTCGCAACGACTTCCATAGGAATCTCGATATAATAGTCTCCGACACGTCGCTCATCTCGAAGGAATCTCACGAGGGCTCGGTTTCCGATTTCATCTTCCGACGATAAAAAGGAGAGAGAGTGAGAGAGAGAGAGAGAGAGAGAGAGAGAGAGAGAGAGATCGGTGCTCGTGACAAGACCACCACAACAGAGGGAGACGACGAGCGACGAATTCGAAAGAAGCTTAGGATGCGTTCTCCAGACCTGGAATCTTGACCTCCATCGTTGAAGAAGAGAAGGGACAATTATAAATAATTCTCCTTGGAATTTTTCTTTTAAAACCTTTTTTACGCAGTGCAATCGGCGTCAAAAATGTACACAATTTTTGCATGGGAGTAGAGACGCTTTCAACAATGACATAGCAAAGTAATAATTAGACGAAATAGATTTAACCACTCATAAGGACGATACAACACTGTATGTATGTATGTATGTAGATGCCAACGAGTCGATTCATCGATCGAGAATCTTTATCGTCGTCGAGTTTTTTCGTAATGCATCATCCGATCGCGATAATGTGTACGGGCCACGTGTTCGCGAGAAAATCTCGATAACGACGAAAGATCGCGAATCGTGACCTTGCTGCGTCTACAGTAATAAAAAGTTGGAGTAAAAAGTTAGTAAAGAGAAAATAATCGTTTAGTCGAATTGTTGGCAAGCGTTCGTAACGATACTTTCGAGGTATCGCTTCGCATTAGAGATAGGCAAATACTTGGATATAATAATTGAAATAGAGAATATTGTTCGGCGAGGAGTTATCATCGGTAGGTAGGTAGGCCGCGACGCGATAGCATCGCATTCCATTCATATCAGCATTGGTCCGCTCGGTTGCTCGCCCGTCGCCCCGCCTCCTCTTCCCCCACTTCCTTTTCAGAGTTCCCAGAGCGCCCGCGCAAGTACAGTTGTAGGCGCTCTTTTACACGACCGATCGCCATCATGACCTTGCACGGCGCGCATTCCTCTTCCAAAATATGTTCAAACCAAAAATTCTTATTTTCAATTTGTTTTATTTATACGCCGAGCGTCGTTTAGAAATAATCTTCCAATCGATTGTAACGATCATTTAACGACCAATGCTTGGGATGGATGGAATCCTAATTATGGAAACTAACTGCAATCCTAATTGGAAAATACAAACTCTCGTATCGTTATCGTTACGTTCTCGTATATATATATCTTTTCCGAGAAATAATAATTGGAGATAGGTGTTATCTCGATACGCGAAAATACGTCGTCGTTCCGCCGTGGTCTGGAACTTGGAATAGAATTTGGCCGATTTTCTCTAGATGGAAAAAAGTAAAAGAGAGAGACACAAAGAGACAATTAGACATTTTATTTGTATCTTTGATCGAGGTGAATCGATTAGTAGAATTTGCGATTGGTCGGCTCGATTCGGTAATTTTCGGCAAGACTCGGTCGGAGGGTCGACCGACAGCTGCCCGCGACGGCTGTGTGTGTGCGACTTGTAAGGCGGCGATATAGGTAGTAGTGGTAGAGACACACGTAGTAAACCTGAAGACAGGTGGCCAAGTACGTTCCTCTCGCGCGCGGCCACGGCATGCTTAGCTTCCTCCTGAAATACATCTTCGCAGCGGCGGCGGTGGCGGTGGCGGCGTTTATGATAATTGCACGCCGCCGTGTGACTGGCGCCACAGTGCCTTTCCCTCTCGTCTGTCTTTCTCGCTTCGAAAAATCGACTACTCGCAATGAGCGAGTTCCTTTCCAACGAAATTTGCCAGAATTCCTCTCGCGTATCAATGCGCCGCGTGGTTGCCTTGGCAAAGCTTCCAACCTCTCTTGGGGTCGGTCGGCGGCAGCAGCCACGTGCGCCTCGAGAAGCTTCTTTTATATCCTTGCTCTTTGTTCGGCAGCAGCTGTCCGCCCGAACGAATTCCTTTCCTCCCGATTCCACTACTTCGATCCAAAGTAGAAGACGTCGCTCGCTCGGAGTTTTATTCGAGAGAGAAGCCAATGTCCCCGACCTAAAAACATTATTTTTCTTCTTTTTCAAGTTATATTCTTTTATACATATTTATTACATAAAGGAACTTTTGTGAAATTTGTGCGTGCGCGCGCACGCGTGCATAACGATGACGAGATCAAGATTTAGTTTCACCAAAATTCTTCGGATGCCACGAGATTGTCCCTTCCAAATATGGCCAAGTTATGTTACCTTTTCTCATCGGATGGGTTACGCATACACGCATACTTTTACATTTGCTTTTACGCCTATGTATTTGTGAATTTTCTACATATTTCGATGGATTATTTTGTATTATCTACCATATCGTGATGCCCACGTCAAAGAGAAAATCAAAAGAGAGAAGACTCAAATTTGTACAGCTGTCTTGCGTCGACTATTTCTGTTCGAACGTTTTTATTTCTACCGTATAACGACGATATGATGCTTATCTCTTTTTATCCACCTATACGTATGCAAATATACGCGTACGTATACGGTTTCGTTTAACTCGACCAATTTTACTTGCTTTAGATCAGAGTTTCTCAACCATAATTACACATTTTCTTTACTTGCAAATATTTTGCGAACCGTTCATATTTTTCTCTGGGCTATCGTTCGAGAAACACTGCTTCTTTAATCTAATGTGGAAAAATCAAATATGATATCGTTAATTGTTCCTAATACGTTAGTACTACTTTCATTTTACGACGACGCAGTTTGATAGAATTCGAACGCTACGGTTAAACAAATAATTTCACATTCCATGGCTGGTGGCCTGCTTGTGCGCGACGGGGAAACAAGGAAAAAGTATAATACCATTCGTTTATCGTTTGTGTAAAACTTTATCGACGAAGATACGAGCCAACAATCGAAAGCTTATCTCGGTACACATGGTTCAAATTGGCGCAATTTGTTAGAAATTTGATCCTCCTCGTACAATGCAATAGAAGTAGATACAATTTCGATTTGTTCCTTTCCGTTCGGTATTAGCTTTGAAAATCATCTCTCTCTCTCTCCCTCTCTCTCTCTCTCTCTCTCTCCCTCTCCCTCTCTCTCTCTCGGTTATATGGGATGGCATAATATCGAGTATCGTTAATCGTTCAAAATATTCTATCGATAAGATATTATATGCGTCCGTTGATCACTTTAGAGCTCCGCTTTGTGCTTTCTCGTCATCGTCTTGAGGTAATCGGGGTTCCTCTATCTCTCTTTCTCTCTCTCCCGGGAACGTGAGGCACGAGACCCATTTCATACGGAATTCGGTAGCCACAGGGCGATCACGTGAGCACCCGGTAGCATCCAGCCTCCTAAACCTAATCATTTTAATCTCCGAGCTGGTTCTCCTCCCTTGGACGCGGTTCGTCTCTACTCATCGAGCGAGCGAGCGAGCTATCGGATCGGTTCGAGTCCAACCTTTCAGAAAAGTCACGTCCAACGAGAGAAACCTTAGGAACCTTAGTAGAAGCTCGCTAAATATTTTTCTCCTATCCGCTCGCTTCTTTTCGTTCCTCGTGCAATCGACTCTTATACAATAAAAATAAAATAATATACAAGGAAATATACAAGATGGTCGTTATCTCGATAAATGAACGTAGGATAAGGCGTCGTTCGCAGGGAGAATTGACATTGACCTCGTGATTTTGCTCTCCGTCTATCCGTCATCCGGTGGTTATCCTTTTCTATCCATCCATCTTTCCGTTGTACGTAGGAGCTAGGGCGGTGGTTAACGCGAGCTATAAAAGGGGCCTCGAGTCGAAGGAGTTGCCATTCGTGCTGCTCTCGATGGTGGGGATAGGACCCCCTACTCGCCGAAGCCTCGCCGAGGCCTCGCTGCCGCTGCCGATGCCGATGCTTCGCGTCTTCGTCGTCCCGGCTCCGTCCAGATAAATATGCGGGAGAGGCCGGAATTCCCCACTCGGCTGCATTCCAATCCCTCCTTTTTCTTCACGACTGATCTCTCTTTCTCTCTGCCCCCTCCTCCTCCCCCCTCTTCCTTCCTTCCTTTCTTCCTTCCTTATTATTACTATTACTACACTACTGCATTACTACTTTACTATACACCATTATTATTATTATTTTCCATTTCTGTCTCTTTCTTTTATTTCATGCAAATGCATGCATCTCATTCTTCGAAGAACGCTCGAACAAACGTTCATCGTCGCCTTAATATAACATTCGATTTCTACATTTTCTACGTATCTCTCTATTTATATTTTCTTCTATTTCTTCTCGGGTCAGCCCGCCAAGAGTCGCCTTTAGTTTCCATGCATTTGCTTCTAAAATACCCTTAAATCTTCGGTTAGAATATCCATTCACGCATTGCCGAGTTCTCGGTAATTGGTTTTGGGTTCGTTTCCAGAAGGAACATACACGAGAGAGAGAGTCTTATTCTCTTACAAGGACTCTATCGGGTCTTGAAAAGATCAATTTTTCAAAAACTTTACACAGTTGTAGGTAAAACTAAATGAACAGTTTCACGTGCATTCTTATAGCATAGCAGTTGTTTTCAGATATTTTTGACAGCTTAATTGACACTTTACATGGCTCAAAACTTTTCAACCCACCTCGCGGAATTTAAATAGATACCTTCCCTTCGAAGTAATCTATTTTTATATTTATGAATTTTGGAGTATACTATGGTATATCGAAAGATAAAACCTGGGATATAGATACAGATACCGAGAAAACCTGGAAATAAAGCCGAGACGGAAGAGAAAAGGTGCACCTTGGCGAAAGATCGAAAGAAGAAAGTGAAGGGTAAGAGAGAAATAAGGGCCTCCTTCCGCGAGGCGAGTGAACTGGCTCGAACTCGATAGCATCTGCGGCTGCTTCCTTCGACAATAATAGTGCGCGGCTAAGAAATATGCGCGCGTAAGTGAGCGAGTCTCTATTGGCATGGCTTTGATGGTTTCTCCGGTACTGAGGGGCGCAGGAGGGGGGGTACTAATGCCGATACCCACTGTATGTAGTGGTAGACCGTGTTATGTAGGGTGGGTTGGCGGCGGCGGGGCCCAGTCAGGGCTCCAGAAATTCCAACAAGGACAGGGCATAATGCGCGACTCAAGGTCGGTTCTACTACTCTCCACCGAGCTCTCCCGGAGATGGGAGCACGTTCAGCAGGGTCGTACCGTGACCTCGCCGTTCTCCCACCACACAACTGGAATCACTAGCATCACCAGCAGCAGCACACCAGCACACACGCGAGGATCGCCAGTTACGACAGGATCGTGGGCCTATGCCCGCGGCGCCCTGTATTTCACATTCCACGCCGATCGAAAAAAACCGCACACCCCACTAGAACGGCAAAGGTGATCGATCTCTCGCGAGATTTTCTAGTCGCGTTACAATTGTTTCCGATACAATATGCTCGAGAGGACGACGACGACGACAACGACAACGTATTCGGGCGGGCCGCGTGCCTGGCCCCGCGGTGCTCCTCCTTTTGTTTGCTTTAGACGTATTCGGATAGGAAGGTGGCACGGAAATTGTGTTGGCACGGTCCTGCGGGCCCGAGAAGATGAGGACCGCCTTTTTATAGTGGGTAAGAAACAGGCATTTGAGGTCGCCACGAATAGAGAGAGAGAGAGAGAGAGAGAGGGAGAGAGAGAGAGAGAGAGGGAGTAAAGGAAGAGGAAGAGGAAGAATACGCAGAAGAAAAAGCACGAAGAAGAGAGCGTCTTGGAAGAAGACGAAGAAGAAGAAAGAGTCAGCTGGTGTTGATGGTGGGGCGACAAGGGAAGAAGGAGCAGCACGTATTAAGGGAGAGAGAGAGAGAGAACTCGCGCTGCTGCAAGAAGCGAAGCAAGAGAAGGCAAAACGAGTAAAAAGGTGGGATCCCTTAAAAATTGAGACCCACCGAGGTGGGGATCGGAATTTCGGGCCCCGTAAACCGGCCAGTCTCGAAAAGGTCTTCGCGAAGATAAGGCGAGGAGAAGAGGAGAGCCCCAGAGCTCTCTCGCAGCAGCCACGCGTGCGTTCGTCGACGGCGTTGCGAAAGAAGCGGAGGAATGGTAAAGTTGCGCCACGCAAGGAGTAACGAGTAAACGAACCAGAGATTAAGCTGGAGGTGGAAATATCGCGTAGCGCGAGGTTCGCGGCCAGTACTCCGTGTACTCGGCATGGACCGTCAGTACACCCTTTGTGTACTCGTACCGGCGCACCAGTATCGCACGTACCTCGATAATTACCGTCACCAATATCGCCGTCCGAATCATCGATTATTCCTTCAACAACACCAACATCACCAACAGGAACAAATTTACGAGAACGTCGTCTCGCAGTATCGGATGAGAATGTGTTACCACAACGATTATGAGAACGACGAGCAAATCCAACGTTTCTACTGGGAGCAGTGTTATAAGCAGGATGATACCAAAGCTACTGCTTACTACTATTGCGAATATGTAAGGAATTGCTCGAATTGCGGCGGTCTTTTTTTTTAAACGATTCCTTATGCGCGCGTGTGCGAAAACGATCGATTATTCCTTTCCTTTATTATCGTTGCTCTAACGGTTCCAAAATAATCACCTTGTTGCAGGCAAAGAAGGAGATTTACGACGTGAAGCAACAGAGGCTGTGTCTGGCTCAAGACGAGTACAATCACCTCAACAATGCATTAACGACGCTCGGCGCATCGCGTACCAGCCGTAAGTAAATAATGTGTGGTGCTTTAATATCGTTCACCAGAATGCGATCGAACTCGTTTTCTTGATCCTCTTTCTTCTTCCCCGCAGTGTGCTCAAGCTCGAGTTCCTTGAGTACCAAGTACGATCCAGATCTACTGAAATCCGATGTTGCGCTCGCGAGGAGTCGAGTGTCCCGGCTCAAACGAGAGCTCGAACAAATTCGAGCGGAGATGAATTGCACGCAACGAGGAGTCGACACACTTGCTAGGTACGTATTCCTCACTACGTTTTCTCGCTAGTCCTTATCTTTCTAATCGCTTCCTATATTTACGAATATTCATTTTCTTCTTTCTTTGATTTTGGTTACAGCGTTGAGCAAAAGCTGAGCGGCCATCATGGGGGTTGTTACAATATTACGGAAGCTCAGGCAATCATGACGGAGTTGAGAAATATTCAAAAATCTTTGAGCTCCGGTGAAAAAGAAAAGGCTGAGTTGATGCAATCGTTGGCTCAATTAAAAGACGAATTGACGAGGCTGCAGCTTTGCGAGGGTAGCCCAGAGGCTAGTACACTTAGTTTACCTCAGGAAAAGCTCAGCACTGCCTCTCAGACAGATCTTTCCGGTGAATTGGTGCCAATTGGTACGAGGCTAGCCGAAATGGCGAGAATGAGGCTACAATACGACGAGGCGAGGAAGAGGATACAACATATTCAACAACAATTGGCCGATCTCGAAGAGAAAGTGACTCCTGGTCAAACGGAAAGCGATAAGGACAAGTTACTACTCTTTCAGGAAAAGGAACAATTGTTGAGAGAGTTGCGTAGCATAACTCCAAGGACGAGGACCCAGCAGGACATGAAGAAGATACAGTGCGAGATACGACGTCTCGAGCAGGATCTTAACAATGCCCTGGAGTTGTCGAACAAGACGATTACGGACCGAGTAAAATTGCACGAAGAGAAGCAAATGTTGCTTCAACAGTTGCGAGATGCTTTGCGTTCTATGGCGATGTTGGAGGGACAATTAAAGAGTCTCAGTGCTAGTACGCTATCGGTGAGCAGTAGTTCGAGTCTTGGTAGCCTCAGTACTACGAGCAGTAAAGGATCTCTCAGTTCCGGGCTTAGTTTCACCGACATTTATGGCGGACCGCAATGCTTGGGATCCGTTGGTGGTAGCTCTCAACAGGACCGACCCGTCGATATGGTTGATTTGCATAGGCGCGTAGAACGATTGCTGAGAGGCTCGGAACAGAACAATCACGCTAGCACACCTTCTCCGGGAAGATCTCAACCGAGTCTTTCCCCCCGGTCGAGTCTTTCGAGCGTAAGTCCACCGGTTTCGCCTCTTTACGAGAACGCTCCTATGGGTCCACCGCCCGCGTACGAGCAAGTGGAATTACAGAGAAGACAACAGAGGTCGGCCTTGTCGTCGAGCCTTATGGTTTCTTCCTGTGCTCATTTGGATGGCAGTCAGCTTGAGGACAGACTGACCGAACTCAGGCTAAGTCAGCAACAAAATACGCCTCAAGAACAGCAACACCAGCAGCAGCAACAACAAGTTTCTCTCCCTCCGCACGATCGTCTGAAACTCGTCGTTGGCCCTCACCCACCTGTCGAATTACAATCTAGCAACATGTCCCAAGGTAGCGGCTTGGGTAGGCCTGCTGCTACCCTTCCGGGATGTATTATGCAATTGCAAGAACCGCCACCTTTATCGCCTATCAGCGAGACCCCACCGCCTACGGGTATACGTTCTAGGGCTAGCAGTTCCGGCACCAATACCAGATCCGTGTCTGCTGCGGTTTCCGATGAAAGCGTTGCCGGTGATTCGGGCGTCTTCGAGGCATCCAATCGCCGAAGGCTTTCTGGATTGATCGGAGATGCTGCCGATCCTCTCGTATCTGCTGAAATGAGTTTAGAAACGGCCCAAGTGCAAATTAAACTTAGGTAGGTATTTGGTTGTTTCCATCAGTAGGGAATGACGGAGAAACGAGCAAATAAACTTTCGAGCGTTTTGTTAATCGAAGAAATATCTCTTTGTCCAGGTATTCCGTGAGCGATGGCCTACTTCATATTGGCATCGAGCGTGCACGAAATCTGGCTGCCCTTTTTATACCAAACAATGCACAAGTGTGAGTAATTTTCTTTTCGAATCGTCGGGCTTTTTTCGTTTCGTAATCGTGAGTCGCTACGTATTTAAAACTGGAATGCAATTATGAAATACTCGTCAGCGGTGTACCGCGATTATTGGCTAGCGTTGAACGTCGTCGTCGTTACGTTCACCCTTCCTTTTTATGTAACTCCGAACGCATTGTGCTGCTAACCAACATTGATCTCGTTTTATCCTTTTGGCTCTGCGATACACATCAACGAACATTCCAAATGATTATTGTGTAATAATAGAGGTTTTATCCAATTCCAGATATATAAAGGCTGCGTTATTGCCGATGCAACCTCCTGTTAATCAAATGTGTTGTACGAAAGCAGTAACGGATCTTCGAAAGCCAACATTCGGCGAAATATTTCCCGTCGCTGTTCCTTTGAACAAGCTCTATACGAAGACACTGCAGGTGAACGTTTGGTGTACCGGCAGCGAGTTTGAGGAGTGCTTGGTAACTTATCCTTTCATTTTTATCTTATTTTTTTTTTTTATTCGAAGATTTGATTAGTTAATTATTGCGTTTACATTTACACAGGGGTCCGCCCAAGTCTCGCTTGCAGACTTCAGTCCAGAATCGCCGAGCGTAAAATGGTACAACATACTTTCCTTTCGCTTCATGCAGCCGTCCGATAGCCCTAATACCAGTACTGCCAACAGTGCCTCGACTAGTACAACGAAACAGGCTAAACACGACAAACAAGAGTCGGACATTTCGGTTTATCGTGGAACACAAAATGCCAAGGAAGAAAGTAGCGACGAAAGTACCATCATTAGTTCTCAAACATCGACGTTGACGAGAAATCAGGGTTGCGATGAACTTCAAGCCGCTGTATCTATTAGGCTAGAAGAACTGGCCAATTGTTTGGGTAGCCCGGAAGAAGAAGACGAGGACGGTGGTGGTGGTGGTGGTGGCGGCAGCGGTGGCGGTGTAGACGATGGTTCTGACAGTGGCAGCGAAGACAGCGAAGAAGAAGAAGGTTATATCATGGAATTTATGATGGAAGATAATGTTCTGGAAGATGTTTTAGAGCACGAGGTTAATATACTTTACGGCTAGGTTTTGCTCAAATTTTTCACGAATTACATATGAATTGATATATTTATTGTTCGTTATCATTTTGTAGGAGGAAGAAGAGCTTAACGAAGAAACGAAACGAACTCAGGATAAAGAGACCAACACGGAATGTATTTTTATCCCGGAGCAAGGCAAACAGAGAAAACTTTCGGCAGCTGGAGTAGTACCAGGAGCTATTCACGACGATAAAAATTCTATCGTGATAAAGAGGAGTCAAACGTTTTCACCGAGTGCTGCTGTTAGCAAGAATCATTACATTTGTCGTGTAAGTAATATCTGCGATTCTGGTTAAACATTTGTATTTCTTTAAATAAATTGTTAATCGTCCTCTTATTAAATCTCCATCTTGATATTTTTGTGTGTTTAGCTCAATCGAAGCGATAGCGATAGCAGCATGCCGTTATATCGTAGAGGTGGGCCTTTCCAACGAAACTCCGTAGAAAGGCGTTCGCTTCGTTGGAGGCGACCGTCGTCGGCCTTAAGTTGCAAGACAACCTCCAAGAAATCCAGTCACTTGCCTCCAACTGCCAGGACATCGTTGGATCTCGAATTAGATCTCCAAGCGCAACATGCTAGACTGCATAATCTTCAGGACGAACTTAGCAGTTTGCGAGAATTAAAGCAACGAATGGAACAGGCACGCGAAAAGGGAGACACCGATCTGGCCAGTTGGTTACTAGAGGACCACAAGTTCGTAACTCTGATGGCACAAGCCGAGAGCGGTAGGAACGGGAAGAGTGCAGAGGATAAGAAGGTGGAGAAGATGTTGAAGAAAACGTCAAAGGAAATATATAAGTTGAGAAAGACAAAGGCCGGCAAAGGAAAACCTGACATCATATCTTTTAAGTAAGTACGACGCAGGCGTGAGAGAGGATACAACGCGATGTTGTGCTGGTGGGTGCTCTTTTTTCCTCGAATTACTAACATATTGTTTCTCTTGCAGAGAAAAAATGGCATTTTTTACGCGGGTAAACGTGAACGTCCCTGCTCTCCCGTCGGACGATTTATCCCCAGAAAGCTCGATGCTGTCGACAGACGCGTTGCAAAAGAAATACACGTCCGAATCACCAACAGCACAGAGTGAAAGTGTTTCTAACAGTGGAAACGCAATTGCCATGAGAAGTAATGCTAGTGCCATGGGTAACGATACTAGCAGTAGTGCCGGCAGCAATATCAACGTCAAAAGCGTCAATTCGAAAGGCCGCCGGCCGAGCACCACGGAGAATGGTCAAAAAGAAGATGCCGAAAGCTCCGAGGAGAATGCCAACGGGGAACCCAAGAGATACGAGTACGTTGTCGATAGAGTTCTTGGCGTCGAGGTTTAACATTCAGCCTGCTTTTCACCTTTCTTTATTCTTTATTTCTACTTTGATCTAAACATTTTAACTGTTCGATCAGCAATATATATTATTAATAAATGATATTATATATTGATGATTGTCATCAGTTGATGCGATCAAAGGAATCCTCTTATTGTTAAGGGTTTCTTTAAATATCGTTGCGCGATTTTAGGCAAGGTAGAGATCTTTTGCGTTCATCGATTTTAGAGGTGCCATGCAAAAGAATAGTTTCTAAAGAGTCATACTTTTTTTCCCCTTTTTTTATTTATTTATTTTTAACCGATGCAACCCTGACTCGTCAACATTTTTTTTTTTATTTTCTTATACGGGCCGATTTGCGGAGTAGATGGAATGCGTTAAACTTTTAGAAAAAGCGTTCTGTACATATGAGAAACCATTGTAAGTTATTTAAACGACGAGATTCGCCCCGATATCAATCTTTAATTTTATTTTGTTAAATTGAATCGCGTTTTTTCCTTTTTCTTCTTCTTCTTCTTCTTCTTCTTCTTCTTCTTCTTTTTCTTCTTCTTCTTCTTCTTCTTCTTCTTCTTCTTCTTCTTCTTCTTCTTCTTCGTCTTCGTCTTCGTCTTCGTCTTCGTCTTCGTCTTCGTCTTCGTCTTCGTCTTCGTCTTCGTCTTCGTCTTCGTCTTCGTCTTCGTCTTCTTCTTTCCTCATCCCTCTTTCTGTAGGTATTTTTTGGCTGTTATTCCGTTCGTTTTCTCTGCGAATCAGAGCACACGACCCACCGAGCGCAGCTGGTCTGCGGTTTGAAAAAAAAGTTAGTAATTAAAAATACACAGAAAATTGAAAAGTTATGCCCTGGTTGGCTGAACTTCGCTTTGACTCTCGGCACTGCCATTTTCGTAACGTTGTTGTGTGTATTCGTTTTTATTAAAGCGGTGTTGAAGAGTCTCGAGAAAGACTCGTCGACGACGACGACGACGATAACAGAAAGTGCCTTTAAAATAAATTTACACGCTGCTCTCAAGATGTATAATTTATTATATTTTTGATCGTTTGTCACTGACCGTTCTCCGAGGAAAAGGAAAACAAAACAAGAAGAATGTGTATGGAAATTTATCGATCAAACATACTAGTTGGAACAATGTGTATGTACGCATGTATACTTCAACGATCGGCCATTCGTCGAGAACTTAATATTGTATATAGATTTTTCGGTCGGAAAAACGGAATGCTGCGATTGATAATGATGGGATAGTATATAATATTACGTTTGCATGTGATAATATTAATGTCGCGTTGTGTCAGCTCGTAATTGAATTATCGTCTGCATTACGACTAATAGCACGCGTTCATTCAATGATGGTACCCGTGGCCATATATTGCTTCGTGTATTGTAATGTCGACAGACACGAAAAACGGAAGGGACATATAGTAAAATTTCTAACGAATGATTTTGTAAATAATTTTGTAAATAGATATTCGACAATCATGTTTTAATGCGCTTATAAATATACGTTGATATGTGTAATAGAATGCGCGCGCGCGATTATTTCCATAGGATAGAACGTACGTAGTGTATGTATTTGCGAATGGAGAAGAGGTATTTTTGCGTTAGGAGCGATGGCGAATATTGTCTTCTATGTACCTCGCACTTCGTATACCTATAGACTATATTGTATTTTTTTCCGAGAGAAAGAGAGAGAGAGAGA